ATCGTGCATTTAGAGAGGTTTTACATAGTACTTGCACTTAGGGGGTGTGCACTTAGGGGGGTGCGACTGTATATAGATCATTATAAGCATACGTAGTAAAAATAAATTAATACTATAATTGACTATAAATATCTGATATTTGTTGTTACGTATGAAAAAAATGCGTAGGTCAATAATGTTTCTTAAATCACATACTTCATAATTTATGTATTACAGCCTTATAATTTATATTTATATAAATAATATAAATCAATATATCCTTGAACCTTGTTTCATAGAAGTGCACTAAAGCTCGTTAACCGAGAGGTAAGTTAGATCAGGTGACCATATTTTTGAATCTTAAAACAGCTAAAGACATGTGACAAAAGTCACCTTTTACTAGTAAATACATAGTTCCACAACGTTAAAGATTTTTATAGAATGCTCTGGAATTATCATTTCTAAAATCAAATGACGATAATACGAAATTATGAAGTAATAATGATAAACATCCAGATTAGTCCCGAAACGGCAAGAAATTATGAATTCATAGTACACACGTACTAGAGCCAAAGAACCAAGTGTGCGAAATTTTATATAAATACGCTCCTACTGAACTTTACTTCTCCAAGTCAAATTCGAAGTAAATATATTACAAACCAAACCAAAACCACACAAAAAGAAATTTAACAGCTTTAAAACAAATTACTATTAAAAATGTCGTTATACTGGCCTGATAACTCGGTTTCTCGTTCTAGCCGCAATAATAATTGGTTCCCACCTCTTGATCTTCACGAAACCGAAAAAGAATTTGTTTTGAATGCCGAATTACCGGTATGTATCCTATATTTTATATGGTTGGCATTATAACTTTAGAATTATAAATAATATAATTAACTAAATTTAAATTTATATAAATAGGGCGTTACCAAAGAACAAGTTAATGTCGATGTTCGTGAAGACACACTTATTATTTCCGGTGAAACCAAGAAAAATGAAAAGTATAAAGAAGGAAATACACACGTTCAAGAACGTCGTTATGGAAGTTTCACTCGTGCAGTCTCCCTTCCTCGAAACGTTAAAGTTAATGATATCGCTGCTAGATTTGAAAATGGTATTCTTGAAGTGAAACTTCCAAAGGATGAGAAGGCAACTGGAAGAAAGATTACGATTCAATAATTGTTTAAAAAAATTTCTATTAAACAACTTCTATATATTCAACATAACCCATTTTTATATTCTATTAAAAATTGTAGATTATTAATATGCTGTCAGTAATTCTCCTCATTTTTTTGAATAAAGAATTGTAAAAAGCTTAATTGCATTAATTATACATATACTATCGATAAATAATGTTAATTAGTATGATCTAATGGGATTAAATTGTAAAATAATTCGTCAAGAACAGTGCAATATAGTTATTAAATGTGAAATTTCCTTACCATAGATATTTCAATTTTTTGATGACAATTAGTCGTACCATGATCGTTTCAAAGTTCAAAAAAAAAAAAAAAAGAACCGTTAATTAAAAAACTGCACTCAACAAAAAAGTGATTTGATTTATTCATTGTTAATTTTTAAAAAAAAAAACCAAATAAAATTTTAAAGTGTATCAGAGTAAATTAGATATTGAACCAAAAAAAAAAAAAACTAGACAAAATCGGCACGTAAACTTATTATCCTCACTATAGAAATTATCTTTAATTCAAGCGCTTCGTTGCTCAATGTTATCTTTTTGACCTATATATATATAATTTTCTTAAAGATGCATTTATTTAGGTTTAACATTTTTACACTTAAACATACTATTTCGCACTTTAACATAATACTAATACTAAAAATTAATTTATTAACATATATTATTATAACAGTCAATTTGCATAAGAAATCACCTTCTATGCATTAACAAGAAGTTTCCTTGAGCGATTTTGCTATTAAAAACCCTAAAACCCCATCCTGAACACAGACCCTAACCCTAAGCGTAAAGATTTTTTGGCATGATCACGTGATGGCGTTACTGGGGAATTTCGATATAATTAAATTATAGTGGTACGAAATTTTACTCTAATTTTTATCTATAGGTCATTTCTCCGCAAATACAACTTTTTCTCTACATAATTTTGATTAAAATAACCTTCCCAATAATGCATTGCATTTAGAGTATTAGATTATTTATTATCACAGTTATAGTTAGGCTTTACAAGAAGTGCACATTTTCTATAGATACATTTAGAGACTCTTTTTCTGATGAGAATACTTATGGAGATTCACTTTTTGATATTATACTGAACTTTTTTGATGATCCTAATTATATACACGGCCCGAATTAAACATATGCTTCTTTTAATTTTGCCCGAGAGTTCGTTGGCGCCGAAATTCCATTTTGTACTCTTTTGTACTAAAAATTCTATTTTATTCATATCAATGAGTTTTTCGAGTTACAAGAATTATTGTTTATAGCGCTTTGCAAAAAGATGTGACCCCATTATTTTTGTGATGATGAACGAGGAAAATTTCTGAGATTCTAAATTGTCTATTAATTCATATTTTCGATCTGTTATGTTTAAAATTGGTAAGATTCTTAAAATCTACAGAATCTCCAATTTCCACGCGACATTGTGGTCTGCAGAGGTCACATCTTTTTGCAAAGCGCGATAATTAGAATCAAATTAATAAGATATGCCTTGCTTGAGAAGATTTAAAAATTTATTAAATCAGCTAAATAACCTCACGTACATACTTTTTTATTAAAGAAACTTTTTTT